CACCGACTGATAGAACATACGTAGCATCTTGCAGCACTGATGCTCCTTTAAGGTTTGTGTTTCATGACCACAGGACAGGACTGCAAAATCTGAACCCCCAGCTAGTGCTGTTCCTGGCCTGCTGTGGGGGGTGTCTGCTTTTCTTTGAAGTTTCACACTTGTGGTTGTTGTGACACGAAGGCAGGTCTGAGACTGCATTCTGACATTTCGCTGCTGGGCGAGTGGTTTTCTAGCCACATGCTGACCCACACACCTGCTGGGCTCAGGCCTGTGGACATCAGAGCAGCAGCAGCAGCAGAACACCAGAGCAGCAGCCCCTGAGCAGGAGCAGGACTCAGCCCTGACCTGGAGGAGACGGACTTTCAGGACTCGACTGATTCACACCTGTCTCTGGCAAATCAGAGTCACCTAGTCACGCTGGGACCTGAACAGATCTGGAAAAAAAAAACGAGATGTACCTCGACCTTATAAGTAACACAGCGACATGTACTTCGCTTCAAGATGTTCACATTGAAAAATGACATTGCTATTCTTCTGCACAAAAAACATCAGAAATCAGAAACCCTTAAGGTGGCCAATACTCAAGCTAGACAGTAACCTCAGCGTAGTTCTTCTGAAACTTTGTCTCAAAAAGGAACTGTATGCAAACACAAACTATCTTAAAAGAACTGGATGAAATTTGTAATTGAATGTGAATTCAAGTTTTGTCATTGTGGTGTGATTCCATCACACTCATTATATAACTCTACCGTGTCCCCAGAGCACGTCTACACTGTACTGAAGTCATTTACATCTGACCTACTGGATAATTACTGTTTCAGTGTGGAAGAACAGCTTAAAGCTGAGCAACGCCGAGCTGGAGAGGATTAAAAATGAGCTGGAGAGATGTAAGAGCAAAGTGAAAGAGAATCAGCAGCTGAAGAACCAGGGCCAAGTGGAGGAGTTCATGATTGAACAGGAAATGAAGCGACAGCAGAGCGCTCACCTGGAGGAGAGGAAGAAAGAGATCGACCCTGTTTTCTGTGTGGAGCCCTATACTGGGGAAAGAAGTAAGTGTGTGATTTTACAGGACAGAAGGAGTCGGAAGAAATCAGTGTCAAGGTGAATCCCTGATCCTCAGTCAGTATTAAGCAGAGGGATTTCCTGTGTCTCTGTCTTTGTCTTTGTGTCGGTACAGAGGAGAGTTCTGATGAACCCCTGAGGCTCAGTCAGTATTAATCTGGGTGATTCCTGTGTGTCTGTCTGTCCAGAGGAGAGTCCTGAGGAATCCCTGAGGCTCAGTCAGTATTAATCCAGGTGATTCCTGT